GGGGGGGGGGGGGGGGGGGGGGGGGGGGGAAGGAAAAAAATCTTGAAAATTTCCAGCTGTTTTATGTTTTCAACACCTCTTGAACTTGACGGCCGTTTATAGGACACTTCGAATTATTGTATAGGACAATGAATGTAGAGAAGTACTTTTGTTTTTGCTGTTTTGGTTGTTGTTTATGGTTAACGTAGTTTTTAGTTCAGACTAGTTGAGGATAATGCCTATTGGCTTGACAAGAACATTGGAATGCTTTATTAGAGTGTGGTGTACTGGTCTCGCTTAGCGGATGTCACCATTGTTCATCACAATAAGCTTTCTAGCGTCGTTTTCCATCTTCTAATTGATGATGTTCATTTTTGAAAAGACAAGGAACAGAAAAAAAAGCAACCGATTAGACTCTATAGATATGGCTATATAGATGGATCTTTGTATGTATATATTTATCTATCTAATGGCTGTTTAAGCAATAATCTGTTTTCTTAGTGCTCAAGTAGTCTAGTTAATTTGTCCTTTTCTCGCATACAACAATTTAGCTTTAAAATTTTACGTTTTATTTAAGTTTACGCTTAATAAACTAAATATTTATACAGTTTTTGTATCGCTGATTTATGATTTTGTCACCTTTATTGATTAAAGTTGGAACGACAATAAATACGGCTAAAATAGAACTGTTATTTATAAAATTTTTTTTTGTCGTAATTATTAAAGTTGTTAATCATTGATTCGTAATTCTTTTTTTTTCTTTCTTTTCTTCTTGTTTCTTTTTTCTTTTTGGTTAGGCTGCTTAAACGCCAAGTTAGCTTAATTGAACTATGGCGGTGGTAAGTCGCACAACGGTAACCACAACGCGAACTACAGGTACCGGCTTCCGTAGTTCGACAGTACCCGTCTGGGTGATCAAACTTCTCACTGTTGTAAGTTATATTTTACAAATATTTGTTCCTTCTTTTTCTTTTCGGTTGTTTTTAGTATATATTACTGTTTATTGCATTTTTACTTTGTTTAAGCCTTTTATAAAACTATGGTTCTTTTCTTTGTCTGCTGGCTAATAAGAAAACAAAAAAAAAAATTCCATCAAAATTAGGACATAAATATGTCTGAATTTTTTGGTACTTTTTTTTCGCTATTTTTCTCTTTCCGGTTACATAGTTATTTTTGTTACCACTGCTACTGGGAAATCAATCTGTGTTCTTTTTTTCTTTTGAAAAGACATTTTTTGGCTTAAGCACTTAGTGCAAATTGACCAGTGATGTATCAGTGTTGCTTTACTCGTCATTTAAGAATGCCTATTGATTCAGGAGTGGAGGAAGTTAAAATATTCCATGAATTGTTGGTCTATAGCAGCAGTTTG